GGATTGGATTGGAGGGGGGCGGGGAGGGGCGGGGGCTGGTGTGGAGGACGGGGCAGGAGGAGGCTGGGTCTTTATTTCGGACCGGCCGCCAACGGTCGGCAGATCCGACGGCTGGGATCGATCGGGGCTCCGGGCACGGGAACTAGCCGTTGGGGGCTACCGTTCATGGAAAGTTTTTACCGGTGGGTGGATCCGAGGGTGGCATAGGTAGCACGGCAGTAATTTTTTGGGTATCGGTGGGTATCGGTGGCGGCGGAGGACTCGGTTTGAATCCTTCTCCGGAAAGGAAAGGAAAGAAAAACTCTCTCTACGCGTCTCGTGCTGTGGAAGCCTAAAACAGAGTACTACCGGTTTGAACCAAATTTGCTCTCTAAGGCCGTGCCGCACACCGTCTGCAAATGTAATGTCTGGACCATGGTGTCTAGACTATTTTCACCATCTAATGCCGCATATGTCTGTCGACTGTCGGAATTCGTGCAAACTGGCAAAAAATTCTAGGGGGTTTGTCGGTGTCCGGACTCGTGCCATGTATGCGCCCGACAACGCGGCCCCATCCAATATTATCACCGCGCGTCCCGCTCTCAAACGTTCACCGCACATCCATGACGGTCAGCCGCTCCAGAGCGGATTTGATACGTCAACAACGTATTTATAATTTTGATTGTTCCATGCTACTCCCTATGTTCCTAAATATTTGTCTTTTTAGAGATTTCAAATGGACTACCACATACGAATGTATATAGACACATTTAAGAGTGTAGATTCACTCATTTAAGAGTGTAGAAAGACAAATATTTAGGAACAGAAGGAGAATTTTTGAAGTTACAGAAGTATTGAAAGTTTCCAGATTACTACAGACTATTCTGTTTTTGACAGATTTTGTTTTTCATTGTGTTTGCTTATTTTGAGGAATCTATGAGTAGTATCGGAGGATATGAACAATGGAGAAGTTGGAATACATTAGATATAACATCAATATGAATTTAGAATGAGTTCACAACAGTACCATAAAGTGGTGATTTGTTTTTTTATATTAACGGATCTCATGAGATTTTCTGTTGAGTTTTGTGTTGTGAAGTTTTGAAGTTTTGGGTAAGGATTTGATGGACTATGGAGTAAGGAGTGGCAAGAGCCTAAGCTTGGGGATGCCCAAGGCACCCCAAGGTAATATTCAAGGATAACCAAAAGCCTAAGCTTGGGGATGCCCCGGATGGCATCCCCTCTTTCATCTTCGTTCATCGGTAACTTTACTTGGAGCTATATTTTTATTCGTCACATAATATGTGTTTTGCTTGGAGCGTCACTTTCTTTTGTTTATATTTGCTTGCTGTTGTTCAGAGACATGTTTTATATCTTTTAGTTCAATAAAAAAAATCAAGTATAGCCTTTACCATGCTTATTTTACAAGTCTATATGTGTTGTTTCGAAAACATAAAGTTTGCTGTTATATTTTGAATATTGGTGAATAGTAAGAACATGATAAAATCTTGAAATTTTTACACAATGATGAACAACAAATTTTCTACAGTGTGGTAATTTTTCAGAATTTTTGGAGTTAGAAAAGTATGATTTCTCTTGCATTCTTTACAGACTGTTCTGTTTAGACAGATTATTGTTATGTTTGCATATGTTTGCCTGTTTAATGATTCTATTTGAGGATAGGAGTATTAAATATGTAGAGGCGTTTAGTAGGTAATATCAAATAATAATTTTAGTGATTTGCTACAGTAGAGAATGATAAGGTTATTGCATTGATTTATACTAACTTGTCTCACAAGTTCTTGTTGAGTTTTATGTGGATGAAGTTTTTAAGATTTAGGGAAACCGTGATATAAAAGGAATTATGGAGACACAAAAGCTCAAGATTGGGGATGCCCAAGGCATCCCTAATTAATATTTCAAGAAATCTTAAGCATCTAAGCTTGGGGATGCCCCGGTTGGCATCCCACCTTTCTTCTTCAACAACCATCGGTCAGTTTTGGTTGAACCTAAGTTTTCGCTTCTTCACATGATATGTGCTATCCTTGCAATGCCATTTTATTTTGTTTTGCTTGATGTTCGAATAATATCCCAAGATCTGAAATTCTTAAATGTTGGAGAGTCTTCACATAGTTGCATAATTATTCGACTACTCATTGATCTTCACTTACATCTTTCGAAGTAGTTTGTCATTTGCTCTAGTGCTTCACTTATATCTTTTTAGAGCACGGCGGCGGTTTTATTTTGAAGAAATTGATGAACTCTCATGCTTCACTTATATTATTTTGAGAGGCTTAAACAGCATGGTAATTTGCTTAGGTTCTGAATTTAATCCCAATATGATGGGCATCCAAGAGGGGTATAATAAAAACTTTCATATAAAGTGCATTGAATACTATGAGAAGTTTGATTCCTTATGATTGTTTTGAGATATGAAGATGGTGATATTAGAGTCATGCTAGTGGAGTAATTGTGAATTTGAGAGAGAGAAAAAGAAAAAAAAGAAAAAAAGAAAGAAAAAGGGAAAAAATCCAAGAAAAAGAGAGAAGGGGCAATGCTACTATTCTTTTTCCACACTTGTGCTTCAAAGTAGCACCATGATCTTCATGATAGAGAGTCCCCTATTTTGTCACTTTCATAGACTAGTGGGAACTTTTCATTATAGAACTTGACTTGTATATTCCAATGATGGGCTTCCTCAAATTGCCCTAGGTCTTCATGAGCAAGCAAGTTGGATGCATACCCACTTAGTTTTTTTTGAGCTTTCATACATTTATAGCTCTAGTGCATCCATTGCATGGCAATCCCTACTCACTCATGTTGATATCTATTGATGGGCATCTCCATAGCCCGTTGATACGCCTAGTTGATGTGAGACTACCTTCCTCTTTTTGTCTTCTCCACAACCATCATATTCTATTCCACCTATAGTGCTATGTCCATGGCTCACGCTCATGTATTGCGTGGAAGTTGAAAAAAATTTAGAACACCAAAAGTATGAAAACAATTGCTTGGCTTGTCATCGGGGTTGTGCATGATTTGAGTATTTTGTGTGATATGAAGAGGAGCATAGCCAGACTATATGATTTTGTAGGGATAAGCTTTATTTGGCCATGTTATTTTGAGAAGACATAATTGCCATGTTAGTATGCTTGAAGTATTATCGTTTTTATGTCAATATTAAACTTTGTTTTGAATCTTATGGATCTAAATATTCTTGCCACAATAGAGAATATTACATAGATAAATATATTAGGTAGCATTCCACATAAAAAATCTATTTTTATCATTCACCTACTCGAGGACGAGCAGGAATTAAGCTTGGGGATGCTTGATACGTCTCCAACGTATCTATAATTTTTTATTGTTCCATGCTATTATATTATTCGTCTTAGATGTTTTATATGCATTTATATGATTTTTGGGACTAACATATTAACCTAGAGCCCAGTGCCAGTTTTCTGTTTTTTTCCTTGTTTTTAAGTTTTACAGAAAAGGGATATCAAACGGAGTCCAAACGAGCTGAAAATTTACGGTGGTTTTTTATGGACCAGAAGAAGCCCCAAAGCAAAAGAGTTGGGCCAGAAGAGTCCCGAGTCAACCACGAGGGTGGAGGGCGCGCTCTATTCCCCTGGGCGCGCCCCCTACCTCGTGGCTGACACGGGGACCCCCCTGACGTGAAACTGACGCCAAAAATTCCTATAAATACAGAAACCCCCGAAAAGAAACCAAGATCGGGAGTTCCGCCGCCGCAAGCCTCTGTAGCCACCAAAAACCAATCGGGACCCTATTCTGGCACCCTGCCGGAGGGGGGAATCCATCACTAGTGGCCATCTTCATCATCCCGGTGCTCTCCATGACGAGGAGGGAGTAGTTCACCCTCGGGGCTGAGGGTATGTACCAGTAGCTATGTGTTTGTTCTCTATCTATCTATCTATCTATCTATCTATCTATCTATCTATCTATCTATCTATCTCTCCCTCTCTCTCTCTCTCTCTCGTGTTCTTGATATGGCATGATCTTGATGTACCGCGAGCTTTGCTATTATAGTTGGATCTTGTGATGCTTCTCCCCCTCTACCTTCTTATAATGGATTGAGTTTTCCCTTTGAAGTTATCTTATCGGATTGAGTCTTTAAGGATTTGAGAACACTTCATGTATGTCTTGCATGTGCTTATCTGTGGTGACAATGGGATATTCACTTGATCCACTTGATGTATGTTTTGGTGATCAACTTGCGGGTTCCGTGATCTTGGGAATCTATGCATATGGGTTGGCACACGTTTTCGTCTTGACTCCTCGGTAGAAACTTTAG